TCGAGACCGGGGCAGCGGCTCTGTGAGGATTGCGGTGCGGCAATTTAAAATTCAGGAAAAAAAAATGCTCTCATTGGGTGCCAGTTTACCATGGGAGTTCAGTTTACCAAGGAAGTCCAGTTTACCAAGGAAGTCCAGTTCACCATGAGAGTCCAGTTTAACATGGAAGTTCAGTTTACCATGGAAGTTCAGTTTACCATGGAAGTTCAGTTTACCATTTGAGTCCAGTTCACCATGGGAGTCCAGTTTACCATGGAAGTCCAGTTTACCATGGGAGTCCAGTTCACCATGAAAGTCCAATTTACCATGGGAGTCCAGTTCACCATGGGAGTCCAGTTCACCATGGCAGTTCAGTTTACCATGGAAGTCCAGTTTACCGTGGGAGTCCAGTTTACCATGGGAGTCCAGTTCACCATGGGAGTCCAGTTTACCATGGGAGTCCAGTTTACCATGGGAGTCCAGTTCACCATGGGAGTTCAGTTTACCATGGGAGTCCAGTTTACCATGCGAGTCCAGTTCACCATGGAAGTTCAGTTTACCAGGGAAGTCCAGTTCACCATGGAAGTCTAGTTCACCATGGAAGTTCAGTTTACCATAGGAGTCTAGTTCACCATGGAAGTTCAGTTCACCATGGGAGTCCAGTTTACCATGGGAGTCCAGTTTACCATAGCAGTCTAGTTCACCATGGAAGTTCAGTTTACCAGGGAAGTCCAGTTCACCATGGAAGTCTAGTTCACCATGGAAGTTCAGTTTACCATAGGAGTCTAGTTCACCATGGAAGTTCAGTTCACCATGGGAGTCCAGTTTACCATGGGAGTCCAGTTTACCATAGGAGTCTAGTTCACCATGGAAGTTCAGTTCACCATGGGCAGGGGTCGCCAACCCGCGGCTGTGGAGCTGCATGCGGCCGCATTAAGCGCCCTTACGTGACGTCAGTTATTCAGCACCCCGCCACCGTCTCGTCTGCACCACGTGGTGTCAATGGCGAGTTGTTGTTTTACTGAATAAAAAAAACAAGATAAGTAGGCCAAGTACCACTCTAGGGGGGAGATGGGATGTGTGGGGGGGGGGGGATCCCCGCTAGTGGGAGCGGTGATGTAGTGGTTAGCGCGCTGCGCTATGAACACGGCCACCCGGGTTCGATTCCCGCTCATGGCCAACACCGATGACGATTATCTGAACCGGTCCTGGGCCTCCCGTAGGTCGACTCAGTCTCAAATGAGTACCTGGTGTGCTGTGTAAACATTGCCACTGGGGAGACAAAGGCGGTCAGGCGTGGTGCTGGCCACCCATCCCCTCGAGTACCGTTTCCGCCCTTCATAGGTGCTCGCTAACAGCACTTGCCCCTACAGTCTGTTAAGGCTACACGGGGGGATCTTTGTCTTTTGAACCCCGCTAGTCAACTCGGGGGTTCCCCGCTAGTGGAGACCCCCTGACAGTGGCGGCAGCGAGCCAGTGCAGAGGTCGCCTGCTGCACCACCCCGCCCCTCCCCCTGGGTCCTGTCTCTAAACATCGTCAGCGGGGAGACAAAGGCGGCCCGGGCGGGCGGTCCCGGCCACCCCGCCCCCTCATGCGCCTGTGACGGACTTTGCGGGTGCTCCTCGCTCTCGTCGCTTGCCCCGGGCAGTCTGCTGAGGCTGCAGACGCGTTAGCAACACCGGCGGAGGCGGCAGCAGCGAACGTGGGGTTGGTGGATCACGCACAGATTGCTGCGAAAAGCCCTTCTCCCCTCCCGACCTACCTGCATGCCAGGCGAGGTAGTCAACATCTCCTAGCCACCGTGATGATGATGATGATGAGAGAGAGACGCAAACTCCAAATATACAGCAGCAGCAGGGGTCAGAGGCGGGATCGAACCCACGACCTCCTGTGTACCAGGCGAGGTAGTTGACATCTCCTAGCCACCGTCATGATGATGAGAGAGAGACGCAGACTTCAAATATACAACAGCAGGGGCCAGAGTCGGGATCGAAACCACGACCTCCTGTGTACCAGGCGAGGTAGTTAACATCTCCTAGACACCGTGACGCCCTAAACCTGGCTAGCACCGTCCTGCGAGGCTGGTGGAGTCACCACGGTGTTGGTGTTGAACTGAGTTGTGAAAAGTCTCCAGCCCCCCCCCACCCATCTCACACCGTGGGAGGGGGCAGAAGCTTTATCGGTGGTCGGAATCTGATCATATTGGCACGCGTGTAGTGTGGTGAGTAGGCGTGGCTAATGAGGAATAGGGCGTGGCAAGTGGGCGGGGCTTGTGGGGTGTATTCCTCCTGCTCGCTAACCGACGCAAATTGCAGTGATTATTTTAAACGCGTTATTATTATTACGTGATACAAGCTAATGGCCTGGAAGCATTGGCGCAACAACACAAATACCGTAAAACAGAAAGCCTCAACACGTTCGTCAACAAGAACGACACTGTAGCCTTAAAATGATAATTATACAGCAGGCGACGTTTCTGACAACGGGCCTTGTTGAGAGCATATATTTTGGGTTCATTTTAGGTCTGTGAAATATTATGCGCGTTACAAATGGCATTATTATGTTCTACGAAGAAGGGCCATTGCCCGAAACGTTGCCGATTATTTTACAATTATTGTGCGAGATGTACGTATGTATTACGCGCACACATAACACATAACACACACACTCGACACAAATATGACACACAACACACACACATAACACAACAACAACCGCCGATCGCCACTCAGTGGCGGTGACATCACCACGGCGCTTGTGCAGTTTAAGGCCACGTGAGGTGTTGAAGGCTCGCTGGCGAGAGGTCACGGGACATACCCAGCAGGTGCCATGGGTTGGCTGACTGAGATGACTGGAAGATGGACCAGCTGTGCCCGCTACTGTGCCAACTTTTTGGCGTTTTAGCCACCCGGCGCTCCGCTCGTTGTTGTGAGCGTCGCTCATCTGCCCTCCGCTGTTTTGGGAGGGCGACTGCCTCTAACTGCCTAGTGGCAGCGTCCTTCACGAGCCTCCTCCACAGTGGTCGATCTTTGACACGGCTGGGACCATTCATCGGCAAATCCACTCAGCTCCACGTCCTCCTTGTACCGCATCAACCCATCTCGTTGGTAACCCGTGCCGTGCCAATTTAGCCCCCTCTATCCGGCCATTCAGAAGCTGCTGGGCCATGCGGGCTACGTGACCCAGCCAGCCCAGCCGGGCTTGCCGGAGGAGCTCACCGATGGGACTGCGTCCAAATCTCTCAAGGATCTGTGAGCTCCTCACACAATCCAGTCTGGTTAAACCCACGATGGATCCGTAGGCAGGCGAGCCTGAACGTTTCAAACCGGCGCAGATGTTCCTTTAGAGCAGCGGTCCCCAACCTTTTTGGCACCAGGAACCGGTTTCGTGGAAGACAATTTTTTCATGGACGGGGGGGGGGGGGTCATCATTGGGTCTTTCCCCCCTTTTCAAATAAGCTCTCCAGCGACGTTTCTTTTGTATTCATTGTGGCTCCTAGGGGTTAGAGCTTGTGGGCTTACTCATTGTGGCTACTAGGGGTTAGAGCTTGTGGGCTTACCAACACTGTGACTGAGACGAGTGCGCAGTGCGGGAAAGAGGCGCGGATGGAAGTGGTGAATAATACAATTATGGGGTCGGGCCACGCGCGGACTCACCGCTCTCACCTCCTGCTGCTGTGCCGCCCTGGTTCATAACAGGCCACGGACCGGTACCAGTCCGTGGCCCGAGGGTTGGGGATCCCTGCTTTAGAGGTCTCCACGTTGCGCAAGCTAAGCGAAGGGAAGGGCATGAACCGTGGCCGAGAAGACCCAGAGCTTTTGTGTGGAGCGAGGGGCAAGGCCAGCTTCCACGTAGCGTTACGCAGCTGATGGAAAGATAATGCCGCTCGACTGATTCGGAGTGAGCCCTTGGCTGCCAAGCGTACACATAACACACACACACACACGACACAAAACGCCACACAACACACATACATGACGCAGGACACACACAACACACATACATGACGCACGACACACACAACACACACACACGACACACACACGTGACACACACACACGACACACACGATACACACAACACACACAGTGATATAAATCGCAGCACGGTCCAGCCGGGCGCTGGGGGGGATTGCTAACTCGCTATCTCGCTCTCTCTCTCTCTCTGCCTCTCTCTGCCTCTCCCTCGATAATTACTCTGCACAAAACTGCGATGACGTCGCGGAAGGATCCAGCGACGAGTTCACAAACATCACTAAGAGCCCCCCACCTCACCCCCCCCACCACCACCACGGAGCCTCGAGCCCCCAGCCCTGCTCTGCTAAACCCGGCACGGATACCGTGCAGGGGAAATGTGCGGGGGAGGGAAACGGGGAGCCCGAAGTGGCCGCGACTAAATTTGTTTTTTTACTGAGACGCGACGTGAACCACGTGACCTTGCAGCGTCAACGGGGCAGCGAGGGGCAGCGTGAAGGGCAGGGAGATGTGGAGCTGGAGGGGTGGCAGGGAGAGTTAAGGGAGAGTGGGGAGAGTTAAGGGAGAGTGAAGGGAGAGTGAATGGAGAGTGGAGAGAGTTAAGGGAGAGTTAAGGGAGAGTTAAGGGAGAGTGAAGGGAGAGTGGGGAGAGTTAAGGGAGAGTGAAGGGAGAGTGAAGGGAGAGTGGAGAGAGTTAAGGGAGAGTTAAGGGAGAGTTAAGGGAGAGTGAAGGGAGAGTGGGGAGAGTTAAGGGAGAGTGAAGGGAGAGTGAAGGGAGAGTGGAGAGAGTTAAGGGAGAGTTAAGGGAGAGTTAAGGGAGAGTGGAGAGAGTTAAGGGAGAGTTAAGGGAGAGTTAAGGGAGAGTTAAGGGAGAGTGGGGAGAGTTAAGGGAGAGTGAAGGGAGAGTGAAGGGAGAGTGGAGAGAGTTAAGAGAGAGTTAAGGGAGAGTTAAGGGAGAGTGAAGGGAGAGTGGGGAGAGTTAAGGGAGAGTTAAGGGAGAGTTAAGGGAGAGTTAAGGGAGAGTGAAGCGGGTTGCGTAACCTCACCGATGAACGGAATGCGCGCCAGGGACCCTGCCGCCTCCCCCTCCGCCACGGTCGCCATGGCGACTCGTCTCCCCGGCAACGACGAGCATCCCCCCGTGCGCTGTCCCTCGGGGGCGCCGTGGGGGCCGCCGGTGGCCCCGAGGGCCGAGGGGGGCGCGGCCGCGGGGACCGCGGCCGCGCCGACCCCCGCGTCCGAGGAGCGGCGTGCCGGCTCCCGGCACCTCCGAGGCGGTCGCCTCCTCGCCACCCCCACGGACCTCGACCCTCGACCGCCACCCTCCTCCTCCTCGTCGTCCTCGTCGTCCTCGTCGTCGTCGTAGTCGCCCACGCTCGAGTGCCGGACCCGCGGGGCTCCAGCCGCGGGCCCGCGGGCCGTGCCGGAGGCGGCGGCGCGGAGCGCGCGGACTCTCTCCTGCAGGGAGCGGCCCCCGCAGGCTCGCAGCACGCGGCGCCGCTCGCACTCCGCGCGGCTCCAGCGCGGGGCGCAGCTCTCCTGCTGCTCCTGCTGCTGCCCCGCGCGCTGCCCCGGCTGCCGCTGCCGCTGCTGCTGCTGCCCTTGTCCCTGCTGCTGCTGCTGCCCTCGCTGCCATTCTCCCGGCTTCTTTCTCAGCTGCCGCCCCGCGTGTTGCCCTTCTACCGGCTTCTGCTGCTGCTGCTGTAGTGCAGGCTCTATCTGCTGCTGCTGTAGTGCAGGCTCTATTTGCTGCTGCTGCCGCTGCTGCTGCTGCAGTGCAGGCTCTATCTGCTGCTGCTGCTGCTGTAGTGCAGGCTCTATTTGCTGCTGCTGCTGCCGCTGCTGCTGCCCCGCATGCTGCTGCTGGTCTTGTCCAAGTCGCTGCTGCCCTTCCCCCGGGATGTGCTGCTGTTGCTGCCATGCCCCTAACTGATGCCCCCGCAGCCCATGTCCCTGCTGCTGCTGCTGCTGCCCTTGTCCATGCTGCTGCCCCTGCTGCTGTAGTGCAGGCTCTATCTGCTGCTGCTGTAGTGCAGGCTCTATCAGCTGCTGCTGTAGTGCAGGCTCTATCAGCTGCTGCTGTAGTGCAGGCTCTATCTGCTGCTGCTGTAGTGCAGGCTCTATCTGCTGCTGTAGTGCAGGCTCTATCTGCTGCTGCTGCCGCGCGCGCCGTGGCCCCGGCGAACCGTGCGTGGCGGCCGAAACGCCCAAGGAAGGCGACGATGATGAAGATGCTGATGTCGATGGCGATGATGTTGTTGCTGATGATGATGTTGATGACGTCGCCGGGATTTCGGTTTGTCGAGCAGGGTTAGGATCCGGGTTCGACTCGGGGTCAGAGTTGTTGCAGTTCGACTCGGGGTCTGCTGCCCCCTCGGGTCCCCCCGCGTGCCCTCTGGCAGAAGGGGCGCCGGGGACTCCCTGGGGACCACGTGTCACGGCCGCCGCGCTCATGGTCAGAGGGTCCGGGTCACTCACCGACTCCTTCCCCACTAATCACACTCGCTCAACCACCCACTCAGACACTCATTCACTCGCACTGCCACTCGCTTGCTGCACTGCTCATCCGCTCTCTAACCCTATTCGTCCACACGCTCACCAGCGCTAATCGCCCACCCACTAACTCACCCACTCACCAACTCACCAGCCCAATCACTCACTCACTCACTCAATCACCCCACCCACTCACCAGCCCGATCACTCACTCACTAACTCACTCACCCACCTACTCACCAGCCCAATCACTCACTAACTCAATCACCCCACCCACTCACCAGCCCGATCACTCACTCACTAACTCACTCACCCACCTACTCACCAGCCCAATCACTCACTAACTCAATCACCCCACCCACTCACCAGCCCGATCACTCACTCACTAACTCACTCACCCACCTACTCACCAGCCCAATCACTCACTAACTCAATCACCCCACCCACTCACCAGCCCGATCACTCACTCACTAACTCACTCACCCACCTACTCACTAGCCCAATCACTCACTCACTAACTCACCCACCTACTCACCAGCCCAATCACTCACTCACTAACTCACCCACCTACTCACCAGCCCAATCACTCACTAACTCACCACCTCCCCACTCACCAGTCCAATCACTCACTCACTAGCTCACTCAACCACCTACTCACCAGCCCAATCACTCACTCCACCCACACTCACCCACCTACTCACCAGCCCAATCACTCACTAACTCACCACCCCCCCACTCACCAGTCCAATCACTCACTCACTAGCTTACTCACCCACCTACTCACCAGCCCAATCACTCACTCCACCCACACTCACACTCACTCTCTCTCTCACCAACGCCCCAACCCGCTCCCAACTCTCTCTGCTCCCCTGTCTCTCTCACACCTCCACCCTGCGCGTGTCTCTGCTCTCTTCTCTCCCGTGGGCTGCTCCTCCGCTCTCTGCTTCCAGAAGAACAGTCGCGAGCGGGGAGGAACCTATAGGGGATGGAGGGGTAGGGGGCAGCACGGGGGGGAGGGGCAGGAGAGAGATGAGACGCCACCGTTTTGCTCCGTACCCCTCCCTCGAACCCTTCCCCTCCCTTAGCCTACCCCTAACAATGGACGCTTCGTCAGTAGGGACTCCATTGTCAGCTCACGGGGTGCGGCGATGGGTCAGGCGGGGTGCCCCCAATGTTTGGTTCGTCTCTTCTCACGGTCGTTGTTATAAATACACCGACGCTGACGCTTTTTTGACCCAATCACATCGTCGTCGTTAGGCTCACGGGCTCGAACATTTAACGCTGTGGGGGGGAGGGGGGCGCTCCGTTTTAAATAAGTCTGTTGTTGCTGTTCATATTTTTCGTACAACCGTTGTCGAAAACATCTCACGGTGGTACCACAACTTTGGTCATCACGGAGCGGGAGGGGAGGCACCCCCCCCCCCCCCCCCACTGCCCCCACGATCGCTACGCTGCTGCCCTTTGCCCACTCGTACCCTCGTCACCCTGCCCCCTAAAGCCAGAGTCTACGCTTCTCATGCAATGTTTTCCTGCCTCCCTCCACCCCCCCCCCCCCCTCAAACGCACCGCTCCCCCTCTCCCTCCTCCCCTTCATCCCACACCCCTTCCACGACCGCGGGAGGATATTGTTTTTCGGAGCTCAGCCCCGGACAGCTCCGGCTGAGATGAAGGCCTGCCCATGTGTGTGTGTGTGTACGTTGAACTTATTTCGCACCACCGTACGTAGCTAATCGGAGGTGCGGGGGAACGACAACAAACTAAACACAACAAAATACAATTTTAAATAAAATAAAACAACTAAACTAAATCACGACGTTTGCGGAGGCTGCAGCTATCTTGCCGTGACTGTTCCGTCTAAAGACGGAAGCTTGTGTTGCCTCCGGAACGTCGTGATTTCATTTAGTTTTCTTTTATTTTACATTTTATTTTACCTAACGTGACTTTACCGAAAAAACCAAAGAGCATGAATCCTTGCAGTCACGAAAGCTTCAAATCTAGAATTAAACACGACAAACTAAACACAACAACAACAAAACAACACGACAACAACAGACAAACACGCGCCCCGGCTGCAGCAGCTCCTCTAACCCTCTCCTCCCGACCGCTCAACCCCAAGACCCCCAGGCCCAGCAGAGCCGCCACAGACCCCGCGTGCCTCGCCCAGCCGTGCCTCGCTGGGGGGGTCTCAGCCCTCGGCGAGTTCCAGCAGGGGGCCTGCCGCTTTCTCGCTGGGTAAAGGCGCGGCCCTAGCAAGCGCTCGCTCACGCCACTGCTCAGGGAAGGGGCCTTCACACACGAGGAAGGCTCCTACGAGGGGGGGGGGGGTCTCCTCCAGAGCTGTATTGCACTCTTAACAATTTGTGCAAATTTTCAAATCTGAATTGAAATCCCTTTTATTTAAGGGCTGCTTTGTCGTGTTAAAGTTGGTTCTCATCCCTCCCGCCCACCCCCGCCCGCACCTCCGATTAGCGCGGTTGACTACCCAGGCTTGCGAAAGAAGTTCAGCGTCCACACGCATACGTGGAGGGTGTTCGGACCACTGCTTCTACGCGGGCCGGTTCGTCTTGGGGACAATCGCGGGAGTGGCCACGCTTCACCCCGCCACTGCCCGGCGGACGGAGAGGAGAGGGCAGGGAGAGGTCATACACCTTGCCCACATTCACGTAGGTAGAAAAAAATATATATCACGAGGTTTCGATCGCAACACAAGCGGTCGTCCTCAGGCGGAAAAAATATCATCCAGCAGTAGAACTAATGAACCACATTGTTTGCAGCTGGCGCGCCGGGAGATCGGTAGGTCACTGACAAGGCGTTGACAGGTGTGATAGACTCAGCACTGTCACCCATAGACTCAGCAATGTCACCCATAGACTCAGCACTGCCACCCATAGACTCAGCACTGTCACCCATAGACTCAGCACTGTCACCCAGAGACTCAGCACTGTCACCCAGAGACTCAGCACTGTCACCCAGAGACTCAGCACTGCCACCCATAGACTCAGCACTGCCACCCATAGACTCAGCACTGTCACCCATAGACTCAGCAATGTCACCCATAGACTCAGCACTGTCACCCATAGACTCAGCAATGTCACCCATAGACTCAGCAATGTCACCCATAGACTCAGCACTGTCACCCATAGACTCAGCACTGTCACCCAGAGACTCAGCACTGTCACCCAGAGACTCAGCACTGCCACCCATAGACTCAGCACTGTCACCCATAGACTCAGCACTGTCACCCATAGACTCAGCAATGTCACCCATAGACTCAGCACTGTCACCCAGAGACTCAGCACTGCCACCCATGGACTCAGCACTGTCACCCATAGACTCAGCAATGTCACCCATAGACTCAGCACTGCCACCCATAGACTCAGCACTGTCACCCATAGACTCAGCACTGCTACCCATAGACACAGCACTGTCACCCATAGACTCAGCACTGCCACCCATAGACACATCACTGCCACCCATAGACTCAGCACTACCACCCATAGACTCAGAACTGTCATCCATAGACTCATCACGGTCACCCATAGACTCAGCACTGCCACCCATAGACACAGCACTGTCACCTATAGACTCAGCACTGCCACCCATAGACACATCACTGCCACCCATAGACTTAGCACTGCCACCCATAGACTCAGCAATGCTACCCACAGACTCAGCACTGTCACCCATAGACTCAGCACTGCCACCCATAGACTCAGCACTGCCACCCATAGACTCAGCGCTGCTACCAACAGACTCAGCACTGTCACCTATAGACTCAGCACTGCCACCCATAGACACATCACTGCCACCCATAGACTTAGCACTGCCACCCATAGACTCAGCAATGCTACCCACAGACTCAGCACTGTCACCCATAGACTCAGCACTGCCACCCATAGACTCAGCACTGCCACCCATAGACTCAGCGCTGCTACCAACAGACTCAGCACTGTCACCCATAGACTCAGCACTGTCACCCATAGACTCAGCATTGTCACCCATAGACTCAACACTGCCACCTATAGACTCAGCACTGCCACCCATGGACTCAGCACTGCCACCCATAGACTCAGCACAGCTACCCACAGACTCAGCACTGTAACCCATAGACTCAGCACTGTCACCCATAGACTCAGCATTGTCACCCATAGACTCAACACTGCCACCTATAGACTCAGCACTGCCACCCATAGACTCAGCACTGCCACCCATAGACTCAGCACAGCTACCCACAGACTCAGCACTGTCACCCATAGACTCAGCA